GTGATGACGGTCGTTTAGTTCTTACTAAATCTGATGACAATGACTTAAAAAATAATGAAGGAAACTTTCGAGAAATTCTTCGTTATAGAGCTCAAGGAGATTTAAATTTGAAAATGTATTTAGAAAGTGATGGTACAATTAAATATACGAGTAAAACAAGTCAAAATTCTATTATTGAAGCCTGTAATTCAGTTTTACTCAAAAACATTGTAGCACGTGTAAATGATGCAAAATRTTTCTCAATACTCGCTGACGAAACAGCCGATATATCGAATGTGGAACAAATGTCTCTCTGTGTCAGATTTGTTGATTTAAATAARCTTGTGCTTTGTGAAGAGTTTTTACAATTTGTACCAGCACATGATACAACAGGAAAAGGTTTAGCAAATTTAATAATAAAAAGTCTTAAGCAATTCGGTGTAGAGCTTAAATTCCTTCGTGGCCAAGGTTATGACGGTGCTGCGTCAATGTCGGGAATCTATAACTGCGTTCAATCTCACATAAGACAAATATATMCTTCTGCGATGTATGTTCATTGCTCTGCGCATATTTTAAAYCTTGTTGTCTCCAAATCATGTGGTGTGCGACCAATCATGAATTGTTTAAGCTTAATTGGCGAAGTTCGAGATTTCTTCATACATCCCAAACGAAAAAATGTTTTATCACAAAAAATGTTAGATTCTTYCAATGACACAACAAAAAAAACACTTAAACGTAGTTGTGCAACGAGATGGATTGAACGTTACCACGCAGTGCATGATTTTTTAGAACTTTTTGAATTTATTGTAGAGTCTTTCAGTGAAATATCAGAATGGAACGATAATGATACATGTGGAAAAGCACTACGCTTACAAAAATCAATCTTAGATGGAGAATTCATTATTTCATTATTAATATTATCAAAAGGTTTTGGATTTGGTTTACCCCTATCTAAAYATTTKCAAAAAGTTGRCATTGATTTAAAATTAGCAAATATATTAGCTGATGAAACTTTAGAAGAAATGAAAT